AACAGCAGGGTTAAAGTTAAACTATAGTTTCTACCTGAGATGATTGCTACCATACTTCAACACAGGGCAGGTGCCCTGACCTCAGAATGGTCCTTCTGTCCATCTCCAACATCACAGGGAGAGAAGACAGGGGCACGTGGGGCCATGCCAGGGGGACCCAGAAGGCCTCATGCAAATGCGTGGGCCCCCATTTGATGTTCACAGCTGCTTTGGTGCTGTGCACATGGAGTTGGGGCAGTGCCTGTATCCTGAGGCCAGCCCAGAAATGCTGGGAGTGGGACTAGTGGCAGCCATCTAAAGTCTCACCACAGTGGCTTAGCTGTGTTCAGACCCCTGTGTCCTCTCACAGCTGTACCTTCAACATTGAGCTGGTGTTTCAGCCCAAGAGACCCTTGGGGGAAGGGGGCTCTGCTTAGAGCTCTGGGCAGGAGCCCATCTGGGTTTATCTCTTGCACCCTGCCATCCTCACTCCTGCCCTCTGGCTTTGCAGGCACGGCTGCCACACGGTCATTGCCAGCAGAAGTTTTCCGAGAGTATCAATGGTAAGGTGTCTCTATTATGCCTACCCATCCATGGGTGGCTGTGGAGACCCAGAGCCTGGACCTGGAGGGTCCTGAGGCCCAGACGATGTTGACTCCAAAAGCTGCTCCTCTTCCAAGTATCAAGCTTCGGTGGAGGTTGTCTCCCAGGAAAACACCTGGCTTTTAAAAACGTTTAATTATTGGGTCCTGTGAGGGACCCTCATGCTGAGTGGTACTGATGCTAAGAGAGATCTCTGAGCTCAGCTGGGTTATAATAGCGGTCCACATGTCCTACCCACCCTGGAGGAAAGTCTCACCCCTGCCACAGTGGGTCTCTGGGCAGGGACGGGAAGTCAGCTAGAGCTGCCACTGACCCGTGATCAGTGGCCTGGAAGGTGATGTGGAGGGAGGAGTGTTGAATTTCTTAGAAATGTCCACGAGGGGTAGTGGACCGGGGAATGGCTACCTGCCAGCTGCATCTCTCAAGAGTGGAGTCCAGTAACAAGCCCTGGCTTCCCAGCAGAACCCGGACAC